GATGCAAATGCCCAGCCTATATGCCTGTTTATTGTTTGGCTGGAAGCCACAAGAGTAAGTTCAGTTCTAGACCTGAAAGGTAACTAGGGGCCATAGTCTCAGGGGTCTCACCAGGCTCTTTCAGACCAGTAAACCAGGTCTTTTTTTTTAAGATTGAGTTTTGTTCCACATTGTTCTCCCACTCTATCCAGGATCTCCTGCACCGATCCCTCTCTGAGTGGTTGACAGTGGTAATCAGGCACCATCTAGTTCTTCTGGTTCATGGACATATAGGCTGAGGATCACATGGTCTACCAGTCCCTTGGACTAATTGTTCCCATGCATCTTTGGTTTTCTTCATTCCTCTTTGCTCTGGATAGGAGAGACCCATTGTTCCATCTTAGATGGCTGCTTGCAAACTTATAAGAACCCAGTTGCTACCTACCAAAGTAGGATGTGGAACAATGTTTTTATGTAGTATGTTATGCCAATTGAGCTTGATGTCCCCTGTGACCATGGTTGAGGGCAGGGAAATTTAATCTTATCTCTCTCCCCAGAGCTCAGAACAAGACTAGGCATGAGAGAACTGCTGATGAAAAAGGAGTGACATTTGTGGAAAAGGGGGAAAAAAAAAAAAAAAAAAAACCTCCTTTTCACCAGGAAGATAAAATATTGGATGGGAAAACTGAGAGACTAAGAGGGGTCATGGGGCCACCACCCCTTAAGATCTTCAAACCCAGAAATGGTTTTCATTTGCCTGATACCTGGAGGCCAGCCCCTGGCATCTCTCAACACTTTTTCCCAAGTCTGTAGTGCTAAGACTCCAGGAACAAAGCCACTAGGAAAGGCCTTGCTTCAGCTTTTCTTTAAGAACCCATCTCACCAGTTGGGGCATGAGACACACCAGGGAATAAGACTTGAGAGGTGATGATCCCACAATAGAGTGAAAAGTTTTTCCTTGACCCAAGGCTTTTTTCAGACAGCCTCAAAAAGACCTAAAGTCAAGGCCTAAATATAGGTAGCAACAAACATTCTGAGGCTTGAAGAGCTTAATTTTGCCGAATGTGTATTTGTTTTCCTCACACGAGGCCTATTTTTAATCAATTGCCAGCTCCTCCAGTCCATTTCCTGGAAAGGAGGCCAAGAAAAAAAAAAGTGGGAACAAAAACACCAGGCAGTCATTTGTACAGTGCTACAGAAACAGAGTTTCAACTGTCCCCTCGAACCCACAGACCTTCATTGACGTCAAAGGTGGTGAGGTTTCAATACCAAACATAGATTATTCCATTTAGCCTTGTGCAGGAAGATGGCTTTCTCTAGGACACGTCTCCTCAGCAGCTGCCTTTCAGAGTACTTCAGGCTTTCATCTACTCACTCATCCTTGGAGAGGTCAAGTCAATATCACTGCATTTCAGTGCTTAACCTCAAGAAAGTGAAAGGAAATGGGGTGGTTTGCGAAGAGCTTCAACTGGTAAGAAAATGAAAAAAGATAGCTTACTTTCATTCTTTGACAAACTTTTATTGCGCTCCTACTATGTGCCAGGATGGCATGATGGTTTGTACTTGGCTACTAAGGGAAAGGTTGTAAGTTCAGATCCACCCAGTGGCACCACAGAAGAACGCCTGGCCATCTGCTTCTGTAAGACAGTTGTTGATGTTAGGTGCCATTGAGTCAATTCCCCATGACAGAGGAGAACTGCAAATGTGCACGAACTGTTGAATGTAAAGCAAATTTGTTTTACATTCAACAGTTCGTGCACATTTGATTCCATGCCCCGTTACCATCCCCGGCCATAACAAACTCCCCTGCCCTTTGTCCCTATGACTACTTCCTCCCTGTGCCCTTCTTAACTCTGCATTGCTGTCTGTCCAGCTTTCCCTCTATGTGAATGCTGCCCTTCTGGTGTCTCCTGGCTGATTGCCCTAAGGGGTGCATCTCAGTAGAGTAGGTGAGAGCATTGCCCTGGGGTAGGTGTTCTGCATGTGGTCTTTCTACTGTTGGGCTGAGAGCCAATCCATGGGAGTGAGTAGTTTCTAGGCCCAAAGGGTAACCCGGGGCCATAGTGTCAGGGATTTCACCAGCCTATATCTGACCAGTAATTCTGGTCATTTTTGTGTTTTTTATTTTTGTTCCACAATTTTCCTC